CAACATATACAATACATATACATTGTAGAAACTCATCTTTCTAATTTTTTTAAAGTCTCGGTTAACCTAATCTCATCTAAACAATCCTAAATTTTAGATATGAGTTCTTCCTGATGTTTCATGTCTTTTAAAATATTATTCGCTTGAAATAAACATTTATGGCTGGTTAAATTTTAAAATTTAAGCTTCAAATTTCTTCAGTGACGAAAAAGGTGAGAAATTATTGTTGTAATTAAAAATTTAAATACTTGAAAGCACCCAAAAAAGTTTAATGGTTTTTTTCATATATGTTGTGGTTCGAAAGTCCGAAGAGTGCACAAGAGAAAAGGAAAGAAGAGAAAAGAAGAAACGAGGCTCACTGGTAGAACAAAGTTTCGAAGATTGTTATGATAAATTTGTACAATGTATTAAAAGAGAATTATGCATGCAATATAGATGTATTATGTGTGTTTTAAAATATATTATGCTTGTTTGACAAGAAAAATTGACACAATATATTATAAATGTATTAAAATGTGTGATAAATATATTATCCATTAATAAAATTTGTATTATATGTGTTTTATAAATTGTGTTTTGTAATATGTATTAAAATTGTATTATAAATGTATTGTAAGTGTTCAAGTGAAAAAATGTTATTGCTATTAATGATATTCTCACTGTCCAACAATAGTTGTCCACTATTAAATTGACACAAAGATTAAAAAACACTAAATGACATGAGTAATGTTACCAAATCAACCTTAATAAATACTCCCTTCATTCCATATTAATTGAATTTTTGAGGTGTTTCACACCCTTTAAGAAAAGTAGATTAAGACATAAATTGAATATAGTTTTCTATTTTTACCCTTATTAATTATTGTCAAATTTATTGAAGTCATCACATTGAAAATTCAAATGAAGGGTAAAATTGGAAAAACACTCTAAAAGTAGTCTTGAAAACTGAACAATTAAGTTAATTTGAAAAATGGAAAATGCCTCAAAAATTCAATTAATATGGAATGGAGGGAGTATAAGTCATTTAAACAATGAAAAATGAATTATGCCCTCTGTCCCTAATTACTTGTCCACATTTCCTTTTTTAGTTGTCCCTAATTACTTGTCCATTTTGATAAATCAAGAAAGGATAATTTTTTTTACCTAATATACCCTCAATTAATTATTTTGAAAAAGGTAGAACTTCTTGAAAATATTAAGTTTTTAATTCATCCACTTCATCATTAATAGGGGTAAAATGGTAAACTTACTATGTAAATTATTGATTTTTTAATAGGTGTGCCAATTTAAAAGTGAACAAGTAATTAGGGACAGAGGGGATAGTATTTAATAACAAGGGTAAAATAGACACAATATAGTAAATTATTCAATTGTTTTATAAAATGGATACGTATTGTTCGATATCTCAAAATAATATAGTGGACAAGTAAAGATAGACAGATGAAGTATATATTTTCTCAGTATAGCATATTTATGTTTTGGATAAGGAATTTTGGTTCATTGGACCATTTGTCTAATTTTTTTCCTTTTATGAATATGAGTGAAATTGCAAGTTGTAAATCCAACTAATATGGTAATATAATAAATTATTTTATTTATAAGGTTAGCAAATAGTTATACTGTACTAAATTTGCATGTGTAGCATTAAAAAGGATTTTGACAATCCACTAGTCAAACCTTATATTAGTAGGTAAAAAAAAAAAGATTAGAACTTTCAAAGTCCAATGAGGCACCAATTGAGTTTTCTTTGTTTTGTGCTTTTCTTATTATTTGATTCTACATTTTCATTGAGTTTGAGAGAAGAGAGAAAAGCTTTGTTTCTATTGAGATCTACTTTAGGATTAAGAAGGAATGAATGGCCTAGGCCTAGAATGGTAAACCCATGCACAGATTGGAAAGGCATTCGTTGCAAAAATGGTCGTGTCACCGAAATTAACATATCTGGTTTCAGACGAACCACAGTTGGTCAAGATAATCCTCAATTCTCTATTGAAGCCCTTCAAAACATAACATTTTTGGAGAGATTTAACGCATCGAATTTCAAACTTCCAGGTCCTATTCCTGTATGGTTTGGATCTAGAGTTGCACCTTCTCTACAAATACTTGATCTTAGATTTTGTTCAATTACTGGTCTTATTCCATCAAGTCTTGGCAATTTGGGTAATTTAACTATTGTGTACTTGTCCAATAATGCTATTACTGGACCATTGCCAATGAGTTTGGGCCAATTATCGAATCTTGCTGTACTTGATCTTTCACATAATTCGCTCGTTGGATCGATTCCTGCGTCATTTAGGTACCTAGAGAACCTTATTATGCTTGATATGTCATCAAATTATTTAACAGGGCCAATTCCTCCTAGTGTTGTGACATTGCCTCATTTGCAATACTTGAATCTTTTTAATAATAGTTTCTCTTATTTGTCAAAAGATTGAAGAATGTCAATTGGAAAGAATCCCTTATAAACCTTGTTTGGATGGTTGTTATTCGTTATATTGTTAGTTTAAAATAATTAAATACAATGTTTGTTTTGATTGTTACTTAATTTTTATTGTATTGTATCATTTAAATTCATTGTTCGGTAAGGATGAAAAGTTTCAAACGATCGATTTTGTGTGATCGTGTCGTTGCCTTTATATTTTCTTCTCATTTTATCTTTATTTATTATTTAATAATAATCCAATTATATCCTTTGCTCTATCTTTCCCGATAACTCTACTAGTACCCTACATTTCTTTTGTACGTTTATCATTCAAATCATCGATGTGTGATATTGTGTAATGATTGAGAACAATATAATTATTCCAAACATTATGTTTATTAAAACAATATCATACGATACAATATAACACAAGACAATACAATAAGATAAATTAACCATCATAAAGTGAAGTATATCAATCATTTGATATGCTGCATTTATTTTGGTATTTTTTTTATTTTTACTACATAACATTCCAACAAATACCCACAATAAAAAATAATCATATTTATTTTTAATGTATAATTACTGTGTAATTTGTGGATAATTCGTGTATAATCTTGGAAAAACTTTATAAATGGATCATAAAATTCAAAATAATTACATGTTCGTGCCTCAATTCAGAGTAATTCAAGAAATATACATTCTCTCAAAAAAAAATTACAACTCATACCCCACATTCATTAAGGCTGATAATTTTTACTTAACTGACATTAAATTGGTATCATATACTAGTATATTGGTATCATTAAGGCTGACAATTTTGCTTAATTGATACTAAATTATTATTATTATTATTATTATTATTATTATTATTATTATTATTAATATATATATATATATATAGAGAGAGAGAGAGAGTATATTGTTGTAGTATCATTAAGATTTCAAGTTTACTCAACTTCTAAGTTAGAATGAAAAATTGACAACAACATATAACTCAAAAAGGGTCAGCCTAGTCCTATTCAGCTCAAGCCTCGTGGGCCAAGGAATTTGATGGGCTAGCCTTTCATTTGAAAGGGCTTGAAAATTTTCAACCCAACCCAACCCTAGAAGAGTCGCGGGCTAGCCCTTTTTTTTTCTTCTTTTCAAACTTAAATTCTATGACGTCAAGAAAATGAGAAGATTTTTTAATCAAATATGACAACAATGACGGTGTTTCAATAACACTAGCAAAAGTTTAGTCTGATTAACATGTATCTAGGATACTAGATACGCGAGATGCATGAATCTGGTGTGATGCAACTCAAATACAAAAGCGAGATAAGAGAGTGACGAGCGAGATGGGAGGGAGGCGAGGGCGCGAGATTCGTCAATGTATCCAGATACATGCGAATCCACGTGGATACAATGTATCTAGAATAAATTATACCTAATTTTGAGTCCATGTATCTCGAGATACATGTATCTAGACACACCATAATCTGGTAAAATTATACTATTACAACATAGTATACATCTAAGTAATTAGCTTATACGCTAGTGAAATTTCGGTAATTTACCCTTAAATAAATATTTTTAGCCCATGAGCTGACCCGACCCGACCTCAATCAAGCCTCAAAGGTCAAAGACCTATATGGACAGGACTTATAAGCCCTACTTTTAAATGGACTTGTAAAGTTATATCCCAACCCTACCTCAATAATGGATTGAGTTGAACCGGCCTCATGGGCTAAGCCCATTTCGACGGCTCTACATATAATTAAGAGTAAATTTTAGGTTTAACAAACATAAAAATCACATTTGTATGTTATATCTATAATTTGTATAATTGCGCTTATGTTTGCTATGACTATTAATATGTATATTTCAGTATACATATACAAAATAATCAATTGTATCATCTGTTTCGGTATACATATACAAAAGAATCAATTGTATAATTTGTGTTTGTATAAAGCGAGAAAGACAAAAGAAAACTGGGCAGGAAAAAATCTGTATTTGTATAATTATAAATGTATTGACGAAAATATATGTATTTATATTTGTATATACAATTTTCTCTCACTTTATACAAACACAAATTTGTGTTTGTATAAAGTGAGAGAGGCGAGTGAGAGTAACGAACGAGATCTGAGAGAGTAGCGAGCGAGATTCTATGGGGAGAGAGACGAACGAAAAGATATGTCTGTGTTTGTATAATAGTGACCAGCGAGAAAACAAGAGTGGCGAGCGTGAATTTCGAAGAGAGAGGCAAATGACAACAGTTTGCTACGGATTACAATTAAATCAAATGTAATTATAACATTTTAATTTGAATTAATAATTTATTATTTTATACAATTTTTTCTATAATTAAAATAAGTGTCTAAAAAGGAAATGAAAAAAGTAGGGGTGCTGGCAAGTGAGGCCAAAGTGACCACAATACATGTCCATGTCAGAGGCCACTACCTTCGAACCTGCCCGGAGTAATTCAACTCTGAGAACTGACACACGCATAGGCATCGGTGTTTCTTTTGTTTGGCACAACTGGGGGAAAACACCGGGCAAACCACCCCCTTTTAATTAAATCTTCTGATTACAGAAGCGGTTTAGGGTTGGGTGGGGAATCGTGTGCAGTTCTCAGCTCCACACCCCCGTGTGACAACTTCGCTTATGCTCTTACTTTTAAATCACTATGTTTCCTTTTGAATATCCGATGTGGGACAAAGAGGCCACTAAAGTGATTTTGTATTGCATTATGAAGTGAAGGCTGTATTTTGTTCTCTTTGACTGCCTCTGTTTTTATCCAACCTCCATCGAAGTGGGAGCTTACACACTGTATAAAAGTAGAAAAATGGAGAGGTTCGCGCTTATCTACTTCTCCCTCCCCTTTTCACTATTTTTAAGTATTTTCTCTGACACCCATCAACTGAAAGAAAAGAATAACCCAACTATTATAGCACTTGTATACTTTTCAAGACCAAGAATCAAACCCCCAGACCATCTGATTCAGTACAACGCTGAATGATAAGCAGTGGGGTTTTGCCTCACTTGTATTCATATTTGTATACCCCAAACCTTCACAAGTTTCAATGAAGGTTCACCAAGAATGAGGCACCAACTGGGTTACCTTTCTTTCCTCCTTTTCTTGCTTTTTCATTCTACATTCCAGCAGCAAGAAGATAGATTGGCTTTACTTCAATTGAGATCGTCTTTAGGATTGAGAGCCAGAGAGTGGCCTATTAAGGGTACCCCTTGTTCAAATTGGAGAGGTATTTCTTGCAACAATGGTAGAGTTACTGGGATTAACATTTCTGGTTTTAAGCGAACACGAACTGGGAATCAAAATCCTCAATTCTTGGTTGATGCCCTTCAAAATTTGACTCTGTTGGTGTCATTTAATGCATCTAATTTTGCACTTCTGGGTTCTATTCCTGATTGGTTTGGCATTGGACTTGCATCTCTACAGGTTCTTGATCTTAGCTTCTGTTCAATAACTGGTGCTATTCCTTCAACTATTGGTAATTTGAGAAGTTTAGCTGTTTTATACATATCTAATAATGGTCTTAGTGGAATGGTGCCTTCAAGTTTGAGTCAATTGTTAAGTCTTTCAGTTCTTGATGTTTCACACAATGCACTTGGTGGGTCAATTCCTGCATCATTTGGGTCTCTTGGGAATCTTACTTTGCTTGATATGTCTTCAAATGTTTTGTCTGGGGCTATTCCTCCTGTAATTGGGACTTTATCTCAGTTGAAATTCTTGAATCTTTCTCGGAATATGTTGTATGGGAATCTGCCGCCTGTAATTGGGAGATTCAGTTTTCTTGATATATCAAACAACTATTTTCAAGGCAAAGTTCCTCAGTACTGGCAAAGCAATGTGACCCTAAATAGAAATTGCCTACAAAGATTGGAAAGTCAAAGGGATACAAGAGAATGTGCATCTTTCTATGATGAGCGGGGCTTGATATTTGACAATTTTGGAATGCCTAATGCTATGGAGCTTCCAGTTCCTATATCTGAAAAGAAGAGTCCCAAAAATGTGATCATATCAGCTGCTGTTCTAGGGGTTGTCGGATTTATTGCTACTGTGATGCTCTTTGTAGTGCTGCTGATTTGTTGCTGCAAGAGGGGCGCGACGAATCAAAGGGTCACTGGTGTAGGGCCTGTTCCTACTACTGCAAGTCCTCCCCCACCTCCAGGACCATTATTGAAATTTTCAAGTTTAGGAGTAGCATTTAACTACCAGCAGATCCTTCAAACAGCCGGTCATTTCAGTGATGTAAATCTTATTAAGCATGGACATTCAGGTGATATTTTCCGTGGAATCCTGAAAGGTGGAGTTCATGTAGTAGTTAAAAGAATTGATTCCAGCTCAGTTAAAAAGGAAGCATACTTGTTAGAATTGGACTTCTTCAGCAAAGTTTCTCATTCTAGAGTAGTCCCTTTTCTGGGACATTGTTTAGAGAGTGAAAATGAAAAGTTTCTGGTATACAAATATATGCCAAATGGAGATCTCTCTAGTTCTTTGTTAAGAAAAAACAATGCAGATGATGATAGTTTGCAGTCACTTGATTGGATAACGAGACTGAAAATCGCTATTGGAGTTGCTGAGGGTTTGTCTTATCTGCATCATGAATGTAATCCACCTCTTGTGCACAGGTATTTTAGAGCTTGTTGTGATGCATTACTCTTACTTCCACTTATCACGCTTAATCTGACAACTTTTAAATTGCAGTAACAAACCAAATCTATTATCTTTATACTGCCTATCTGAATCATAAGTTATCATTGTGATGGAACACTTGATCATGGATCTTGGAAGAGTAGTTGCATATTCCTCTACATATGTTTCTTTGGTTGTAGACTTTTGGCGAATTAGCATAATAAATGATATGCATGTTTTATTAATACATGATATTTCAGAAAATTAAAAACATCCATTATTCATGAAAGATGAAGTGCTTAAGTTTCCTCCATACTAATTGGCGTCACTGAAAAAGCCTCTTCTTACTGATAAAATTTGGCCAAGTTAATGCTGGCACCATTTTGTAGTTCATGAATTTCAACTGTCTATCAGTGCCAATTAGGTCAATACTATAAGAGACATGAGTGAAAGATATAAGCTAGAGCTGGATGGTTTGGCAATTAAATATACTCTGAGGTGTTCTTTTTTTGGAACTAAGTGGCCACATGATACAAACCGGAGCTGGATATTTAGCAATTATATACTATCCAAAACTGTTCTTATCAGTGATCTAAAAGCTTGCTAGGACACATGAATTGGGCGAATCCAATCATAAACTATTTACAGAAAATATGAAACCAAACTTTGTCTTGAGATACCCCTGTTACAACTTACAAGAGTAAGGGTGAATAGAATAAGTCCTTTACTCTTTTGGCCGTGTATTACTTCACAATCTTGGGCTAACTACTCCAGACGTACTGAGTGAAACCTAATGACAAAAAAACTCCTATTGGCAACTCGGTCTAAATTTTGACAAAACTCCTATCACTGCCATCTTTCCTGAACAACTTGGATCACAGCCCAAATGTTAACCCTTCTCCGGAATTGTCCTTTTTAGAAAAGATTTCTATTTAATTTTCTCATATTGTTTCAGCAGAAGCTTGTAGAGAATGATAACTCAATGAACAACGTTGTGGATTTAATAACATGTCTGGTTGTTTGAAATTGATCCAGTATGTAGATAAATAGCAAAATATCAGATGACAGCTGCGACAATTAGCTTCATGAAATTTTACAAAGACAAAGAAAAGGAATAGACAAGACTTCATCCTTGTTTAGCTCTTCATTATATGTTCTCTATGTGTTATTCACGTGCAATAAATTACAAATTTTCCATAACAAGACGATTTGACCAATGAGGGTCCATGGTTATGTACACTTGTACTAGCTATTCTCTCTAGTTGCATGCATGTCTATTTCCACTTTAGCAAGTTCTGATTTCTTCTAGATTCTATATCTAGTGACATGGCTTAAGGTTCACTGTTACTAGATCTCTTACTGCTCTAGCATATTAAAATTTATTTCTGAAACTACGGCGAATTGAGGTAGCTTTGCTTATTGATTTTTTGAAAACTTTCTGACATCGAGGTCTTCTTGTGTTTGACATGGGTGCCGCTTTTGATACTGAGATTTTATGAGATCGCTAAACTTGTTTAGTTGAGTACTAGCTGGTAAATATGTTAGGTAGGTCATTTAGAAATCTCATAATGTAGAAGTGACCTTTTCTTATATTTTCATTAAAGGATTTCTAATAGGATAGCACTTTGACTTACTTTTTTCATTTTAAAACATCAGCATAGCTCCTTGACATATCACATACTCGTGATAAACTATGTACAGATTGATTGAGCTGGTATAACCGTGACTATCAAATTTATTTCTTGGATTTCCTTTGTACTTCAGTAGACCCATCGAGCTTCTTTCTGAAGTTAGTTTGAATATTTACTAAACTTGCAAAACAGGTTTAGATATTACCATGATTTATGTCCATTTCTTCCTTCCAATTTTAATCATCTTCCAATTTTAATCATGAATGTACTCTATTTCACTATAGGTTACTACACTTTCCTCAAGCTGTTCACCACATTTTTTCAGTTAAGTATTATTTTTTTTATGTGGCAACTAGAATTTCTTAAGCCAGCATGCATAAATAATTATATTCTTATCTTCTCTCTGTTTCTTTTCCACCATACCACGTGGTAGACAAAAGATGGTCTAAGCTGGAACTTCCCAAACGCCTCATAATAGACCATACTTAAGGTAGTGCATGAAAAGGAGAAACCAATTGCACAAATTTCTGCATTTTCCCTGAGCTATATCAGTGAACTGTAAAAAAGACGGGTTTTATACTATTCGTAATGGTTACATTGTCTTTCTGCTGCATTGCAGATGAAAATTCACATAATCTCGGTTATATAATTTATGCCTTGGGGTACTATGGTGAAACATCTTTTTTGAACCTTGTCTTGCTATATTTACAGAGATGTCCAAGCAAGCAGCATACTTCTTGATGATAAATTTGAAGTACGGTTAGGGAGTTTGAGTGAGGTCTGTGCACAAGAAGGAGACACCCATCAAAACAAGATTTCCAGGATGTTGCGGCTGCCACAGTGAGTAGTTGTCGCTTTTCTTTTCATTTTATTTTATATGACAATATCTTTATTTGGGATTGAGGCATAAGTGGCTCTTTTCTCTAATCCTCTTTCTACTCTACCAAAATTTATTTATAGCCTACATTCTCCCCACAGGAAACATTTTTCTCAATTCTTGTATGTGTCTTAGATATATGAGTGGTTGTGATTGTCTTTTTCCTGCAAGATATCTAGCTCATTTAGTAGTAACAAGTAATTATGTTATTACCTCTCAACTGGAACTACATATTGATAGTCTTTTCTTCCTACTATGCAGAACATCGGAACAAGGCGCATCAGGTACACTTGCCACTTGTTAATTCAATTATGATGAATAAAGTTTACTCGATATTATAACATTTATTAAGTCCTGCTTTTCGGTAATAGCCTACTGTTTAAAATGATGAAATTTGACTTTCTAATCTTCTTTTCTGATGGACAGGTACGCCTAATGCCACTTGTGCATACGATGTTTATTGTTTTGGAAAGGTTTTGCTTGAGCTGGTAACTGGCAAGTTGGGTATCAGTTCATCTAGTGATGCTACCATAAAAGATTGGTTGGACAAATCACTATCTTGCATTAGTATGGATGATAAGGAACTTGTAACAAATATAGTAGATCCTTTCCTAATCGTAGATGACGATTTATTAAAGGAAGTATGGGCCATGGCAATTGTTGCCAGATCTTGTCTCAATCCCAAGCCTTCGAGGAGGCCGTTAATGAGGTATATCCTCAAAGCTTTGGAAAACCCATTGAAGGTATTTAGGCAAGAACACGCTATTTCCGAACGACTTAGAGCAACTTCATCCAGAGGGTCATGGAATGCTACTCTATTTGGGAGCTGGCGTCACAGCTTCTCGGATATAGTAGCTCCACCAGCTAATAAGGTGGAAGGTGCAAGTAGTTTTAAGAAGTCAGCAACTATGGGGTCTCAGGGAATTGGTCAAGTTGCAGAAGGGGGTCCTTCTTTCTCAACTGGACGACACTCAAAGGAGATATTCCCCGAACCATTGGACGTGCAGGATGCAGAGAGAATGCGTGATGAATAGAAGGTTATCGTTCTTGATTCTTTGGGTGCCTAGCCTGTTTGTTGGTATCCTGTACATTATCCTCCCATTCTGGATCCTTGGGTTACTCCAGGTTACCATGTTCAAATTTCAAATACAGCATCAATTGTGTATGGCTTTAGCTGTGAAGGTTCTTTAGGTACAGTTTGATACAGCAGGATTTAGCAGTGTGTTGCTTCTTTTTTGCTCAATTGTTTTAATAGTTTCTATTTGGGCTCATTCTTTTCTGTAATTGTTCTTCTCTTTTGCCTGTCCCTCCATGAAATGTAAATTATAAATGGAGAAGTGAATAGGAAAAATGGAATTTCTTGTTTTTTTCAATCTGTGAATGGATTTGACATATTATACAATTAAAATCAAAGGCTTACCCTTATTCTCTTGTGCCAACTTTGTAACTTGTGGCTACAGTATATTATTTACTTTTATGCTTTTGTTAAACTCTATTAAGAACTATTCTAATCTTCAAATTTTACTTTAAGCCTTCAGACTTTTGAAGCAAAGTAAAAAGGAAGTTTGGTGTACGAAACATTGTGAGATCATCATATAGGCATAAGAAGTATTGGGATGAGGTAATTAGGCAGGATATGATGCAACTTCAACTCATCAAGGACATGACCTTTGATAGAAAGGTCACTAAGGTATGCAGGACAAGGATTATGGTAGAATGTTAGTTATTAGTAGTCGAGAATATTTACCTTTCCTTTCCGTAGTTGAGAGTATTTACCTTTCTTTTCCTTAAGTTTAGTATTATTCTTTTCCCCCCTTATTTTTGAATTTCTATCACTACTTGTTTCGCCTCAATATCTTAATATTTTGATGTTGATTTTATTTGTTGTTATTACCTCTTTTTTATTGTTGTTCAAGTTAAGGGTCTTTCAAAAACAGTTTTTCCACCTTCTCAAAGGTATCTATGTAAGGTTTGTATGCATTTTACTTTTTTCGAACTCCACTTCTGAAATTATACTGAATTCGTTGTTATTGTATATGATAGACAACCTATCCAAATGCAAGCATGATTCTATAGGTCGAAGTCCTGACTTATTGGTCATATGAAAATAATTTTACCATTGGAAAATGGTCAAAAATGCCTTTAAACTATGTGAAATGAACACAAATGCCCCCCGTTTATACTTTGGCTAAAAAATGTTCTTACCGTCAATACTTCGGTTCAAAAATGTCCTTGCAATCAATACTTTGGTTTAGAAGTGCCTATAGTTACTAAATGGGTCAAATATGCCCTTTTCCGAATAAATATTTTTTTTCTTTTTAAACACATCTTCTTCCTAATAAAAATACTATTAAAGAACCCTATTCTTGTTTTCTTTCTTTTAAAATCACTATTTTCTTCTTAAACCCATTTTATCAATTAAAATAGAATAACATCATGTACCCCTTTAACATATAATATATGGCATATATATAATGTCATAGTAAATCCATCATTAATTTTTATTTATATAACGATAAAAAATAATTATAATAAAATAAGAAAAAAATTATTATTTTTTATTTTTTCTGAATTGAAGTAGGATAAACATTTGCTAATTTTATTTTTTAAAAATTATTATAAAAAGAATGTGTTATAACTAATATATTTATTTGGAAAAAGGGAACTTTTGACCCATTAAATAACAATAAGGACATTTTTTGACCAAAATATTGACGACAAAGATATTTTTGGACCAAAACATAAACAAAGGACATTTTTATTCATTTCACACCGTTAAAAGGGCCCTTTTCCGTTTTACTATTGATATAAAAATTTCCCTTTTTTAAAGCAAAGTAAATGGAAAAAGAAAAATACTATAGAAATAAGCTAGTCTAAAATTTGGAAGTTTACTGTATTTGTTTTAAAATAAGATATTTTTGACAATAACAAACTAAAATTGCACATAAAAGAGAGAAAATATGGAGAAAATAAATGCCAAAAATGTAAAGGTCCCACCGAGACTTGAACTCGGGTTACTGGATTCAGAGTCCAATGTCCTAACCACTAGACCATGGGACCATCTTGCATGCTTGTTAATCTAAAATATATCTATTCTACATTTTCAATTTGTTTGTCTTTGTTTTAAATTGATAAGGAAAGCAATTTTTTTTTAATTTTATAAATTTAAATTGAAAATATATAGAATATAACAAAATGATACTATTTAACTTTGTGGTTTTAAAATATCAGGTGGAAAGTTAAAAAAAAATTAAAGAATTGTTAAAAAAAAGAGACTGTTTTTTAAACTTATTGAAAAAGAATGTAAGAAAACTATATTTGGATGGAGGGAGTATTTATTTATTGCAAGAGTCTAATTACTATTTTTATAACAGGCGGCGACAAGCACATATCTCTTGACATCGGTTGATTATAAAATAAGCAACTTTCACATATAGTAAACATAAAAATCATATGTGTATGTTATAACTATAATTTGTATAATTGCGCTCCATAGCAGACTTTATATTTACTATGGAGCATCAGAATGTATAACTCGCTGGTAGTAGCTTCAGATTTGTATAATCTCGCTGGCAGACTATTTGTATAAATCGTTGGCAACCTCTTGTTTGTATAAATCATTGTTAGCCTCTCAATTCAATTTTATGTGTTTGTATATCTGCATAAAATTTGAATTTGTATACAAATGAATCGAAATAAAACATTTGGATATGAAATTTCTCTCTTTATACAACACAAATTATACATTGTAATTTGTATAATTTGTGTTTGTATAAAGCGAGAAAGAGAGAAGGCAAAAGAGAACTGGGCAGGGGAAAATCTGTATTTGTATAATTATAAGTGTATATGACGATAATATATGTATTCGTATTTGTATATACAATTCTCTCTCTATACAAATACAAACACATTTTATACATTTGTGTTTGTATAAAAGCGAGAGAGGCGGGGGAGAGACTGGCGAGAGTGACGAGCGAGAAGCCTAGAGAGAGAGGCGAATGACAACTGTTTGCTACGGGTTACAATTAAATCAATCCGTGGTTATAACATTTAATTTAAATTAATAATTTGTTATTTTATACAATTTTCCCAAATAAAATTCTATAAGTATAGATTTTATGAATAAAAAGAAATGTGAAATTGTGAAACATAAATACTAGTCAATAGGGAGTGCTGGTAGGCGAGGGTGATTTGCTCGAAATGTGTGGACCCACTTCAATTAGAAGCAGATAACTGTTCATTTACATGTTTGCTTCTTGTTAAGGGTATTTCTAAAAGAATTCATATTTTTATTTTTTATTTTTTTTTATTTTTTTATATTTAAAAATTGCATTAAAAAGTACTACTATAACTCACAATAATAACAACTTAAAATATCGAGTTATATATTTTAAAATGATATAAAAAGTACTATAAATCACAATAATTAATTACCTAAATATTTTTTTTAAATAATGAAAGAGAAGATAATTAACCAAAAGCTATAATAAAAAAAAACATGTATAATCAGTTTAGCAAACACTAAAGTATAGAGACTGTAGTGGTGCAGTAGATGGACTGCTCCTCTTTTAACTAAAGATCTCTTAACTAGAGATCTCAAGTTTGAAAGCTAAAATCCTTAAGAACGTTATCTTTAAATGGGCCCTACTCGGTGCGAAATTGTCTTTCCGAACATCTATGTTATTAGGGAAATTTTCGCATATAGCCACTCAAAATAACTTAATTATGCTCCATAACTATAGTTTGATAATTACGATTCGTAGCTACATATTAGAAGGAGGAGAGATGCGAGCAAGATTGTGAGAGGGAGGAGAGAGGCGAGCAAGATTGTGAGAGGGAGAAGGGAGGCGAGCGAGAGAGGGCAGGGTGTAGAGAGGTGAATTGTATATGTATGTCAGTTAGATAATTGCATATATGTAACTAATATGTATATTATCAATGATTGTATTTGTATATAAACATACAATTTGTATTCGTATACAATTGATGGAGTTCAAACATTTGTATTTGTATATTCAGTCACTCTCTCGCTTTCTACAAACACAAATTATATATTTGTATTTGTATTAAGTGAGAGAGAGACTGACAAAAGATAGGCGAGAGAGATATTGGGCAGGGAGAGGAGAGATGACTGAAAAAGAGGAGAGAGGCGAGCGAGATTCTAGAGAGAGTGGAGAGAGACGAGAGAGAGAGGAAGAGAGGAGAGAGGCGAGAGAGAGAATGTAATTATAACCAGAAGTAAGTTTTGAATTTTAATTAATGCAAACTGTAGCTATATTAATTAATTAACTAGTACATGTTTGTTTCGTGTAATTTTTCCATGTTATTTTCCCTCATTTTATGACAAAAGAATAAAACGCAGCGTTTTGACCATAAGCTCGTCTTTCAGTTGTTGCCGATCGCAAGGAAGAAGCCTATTTGCATCTCCAATGGCTGCCATCTTAGCTCGCAAATCTCTATCTGCTTTACGTTCTCGTCAGCTTGTAAGTTTCCAATTCTCTTTTTACACATTCCAATTCATCAATCAATCGATCCCTAATTAGTTGGGATTGACTATCTGCTATTCATGGTATGTTCTTCCTGTCCAATTGAAACCTAACTGTATATCTTCATGAAGATTTCAATTGACGGTGTTTGATTATCCGATAAATTTTTTTTCTTTTTATCAATACAGTTGTGCATTATCTACAAATAACAATTTCTGTAAGATTATGTGCATCTAATTAACGTTGAACTTACCTGCAAAGTATTGGAAGGAATTAAGTTTGAAAAGAGGTAATAGATATAGATGATTCATAGAGTGGAACTGAACTAGTTTGGTTAAGAGGAAGCTGATTGATTGAAATCTACCTGAATGACACTAGATTATATCAGCTTTCGCTTTAATCCATTGTGCCCTTAGCCTAATTTGTCTTGTAAAATTAGTGTTTGCTTTTGAAAATGTGCTATCAAACAGTAAGGGATGCCAACAATGGTCGACAAATTTGTTTTGCATACTGATATTTTTGCGATTGGAATTCCCTCGAGGCACATTTTCTTTATTCTGGAATTATTTCTGAAAAAGTAGGATAAAGAGTGGTCTTCTGCATTTCCCTGCCCTTTAAAAAACACAAACCCTGATAAGATATTTTGGCTGGTTTGATGTTTGGATTAGCTTAAATGTGTC